TATCATAATGATATCAAACTATGATATATATGATATCATGATATCATATATATCATAGTTTGATATCATTATGATATCAAATTCCTATCATGATATATCATGATATCATATATACCATAGTTTGATATCATTATGATATCGAATTCTTGCCTGGGTACTTTAATTCCTGTCTAAAGTATTTTAGATTAGTCCTTTTTTAAATGATGGTGTTTATGGTGTTTGTTTCCAAAGACAATTTCAACTAAAATAAAAAAACAGCAAGAATATCACGTGGGGAAAAATACGTATGATTTTACCCTTTCTGTATTTGGTTTTTTCCTTTTTATAAAAGTGGTTTCAGTTGAAGTTTATAAACGGGTTATTGTTATAACGGATTACCGACGTAAACCATTATTGTTTGCTACGGCTTCAAATCTTTTCATGCTCAATCTTTGTCATTGGGGACAAGGGGTTGATTTTGTAACACTATATACGCATGCAGTGGAAAGATAATGGGGAGCATAAAAAGCACACAGGTGTGTACAACGGGATGGGGTTCCTTAATCAGTGGTTTTACTGCATACATACTTTATGGATATTCCCTAAGATTTCTTAACTCCCCTGTGAAGTCTTTCAAGTGTTCTAAAAGAAGAAATATGATGCAACTAAATGCAGTTAAAGAAAAATAAAAAATAATAACTAAATAAAAATAAGATAACTGCAAATAAATATCAAAAGTAAAGTTTTCAAAGCAAAAATTACTGCCTTTACTATCGGCGGTAAGTTCTTAAATCCTTTCTGCTGTATTTACAGATTTCAGTCCTATTAACTCCTATTTATGGATTTAAATCCAATTATTATGGATTTCAGTCTGTTTATTTGAGCAAACAGAATTTTTAACTTCTAAATTTATAGCATAGTTACAAAGGGTATTTATTAACTATGCTAATTTAAAAGTCTTTCTACAAGGATTGCTGAAGCATTTGTGTTTTCTTTTTACTTTTGGAACTTCTTAAATGATTTAAGTTTAAAAATTTCATTGATTTGCTTTAAAAAAAAATGTGGTTCAAATCAACAATTAAATAAACTGATTGCCATAGGCTTGTTAACTGAGAATATAAAAAGGAGAGATTCATTCCAATTATACAAACTTATGCATGACATTGACAAGATAAATATCGGAAAATGTTTTTTACTTATTAAAACTATTTAATAGGGGATTGCTTTAAGACTCTTAGAGCAGAAATCATGTTAAAGTTGACTCTTACAGCTTCAATTATGTTAAATAGAAGTGCTTCCTCTTAACAAAAGGGAGCATTTCCTTTTTAACAGAATTTTAGATGCATGGAACTCACTTTCAATTGAAGGAGTAACAGCAAAAACAGTTTTCAATTAATGGCTGAGTAGCAATTAAACATAACCACTGTAATACTATAACAAATAGAGTGCAAAAAAACACATTCAATGGGTCTGTTCAGACCCAGTGAATGTGTTGTCTAACATAGCGTAAACTACTACTAATATTAAACTAATATGCACTTAACACGTTCATATTAATATTTTGAATATGTTAATTAGTTATAAATTGTAAATACAGCCTATATTATAGGTCAATGAAAGCAGGTGATGCAGCTTGATTTTTTGCACAATAAATTATAATCGTATTAAAAATAAGTCATCAAAAACAAATATTTAACTCGTTAATTTTATTACTTGAAATGCAATTTAGTTTTCAATTTTTTTAAATTGCAGCTAAAGATAAAACAAGTTTAAAGTTTCATTTACATGGTCTTACCATTTTTTTTGTACTTTTCCACATATCTTTAAGCCATCTTGAAAGTAATATTTGTAAGACATTTTCCGGAAAAGTAGTATGAACAATAATATATGTGACTAGGGTTTGCAAAAACCCAGAAAATTTCTATTCCCGGGATTCGGGGTATAATTAATTTCTAAAATTTCCCGGAAAATCCCGGCATTCTGTTATGCTTTAAAACTGAAAGAAAACCCATAATTTAAGTATGTATTTTGCAGTAAAATGAATAAAACTTGTGCATAAAGTTATTTATTTTGTTTTTCAGAAAATATGCTTTCAGAAAGCTCAAACTATCTAAACTATTATTGCTTAAGCGTCTTCTTATTTTATTACAAAATAGTCCTGCGGAGGAAAATGCTCTTTTTGATTCTACGCTCGTTGGTTTAATCGTCATTAAAAAGTCATAAACTTCCTGAAGAATATCACCCCGAGTACAACCACTTTCAAACGATGAAATTTCATTCGATAATTTAAAAAGTTTTGCCTAATCTTGGCAAAGAATTTTTGGATGTTGCTAGAAAACCTTTTTGTAGGGCTTTGTTTAGCTGCTCACTAATAGTTTTCGGCATTTTATTATCTGCGCTTTTCGGTATTTCATCATCTTCTTGACTTACTAAATCTTCAACGTTGTCCAAGGAAATTGTTGGGTGATTTAAATTTGTTACATTTAATCTACTTTACCTATGGACATTAATTTGTTTTCTCCGTAATGTAGATAGTGAAGTAGACTACTTAATTCAGTCCTTCGCTTTTTGATTCTAAAGGCTAATGGATTAAAAATTTGACAACTTGTTGTAGTTTTCAGCTCTTTTAATTTAGTTAGCATAAACTTTTACACAATATCAGTGTTTTATCAGATTTAGGTATGTTGTTTGTATGTGTTTAGAGATTTAGGTATGTTGACAAATAGCCTCATAGCCAGTCCAGCACGTATATCAATAGAAGTACATATTACGTTAAAAGAAATCCCATTTTTAGCTGTTAATCTTGCAACCACCACAGATAAGCTGTCGTCTTTATTCATATTTGATGAAAAATAAGAACTAATTTTTTTTTTTTACTCTGTGGTTCTTCTTCCGATGTCGGAGAACGCGCCGCCAGTTCTGCTTTTAAATTTATTTTATGTAATTGAAGAAGATGAGAATGAAGAGCTTTTGTTAATCCCCCCCATAATTTTGAATACTTTTTTGCAATAGCTTAGTTTACACACTGCTGTTTCACTTTCTTTGTTGCGCAGAAAATGTTTCCATATAGGGGTTTTGCTGTTAAATGATATGAAATTTGACATACTATCCTAATTTGACGAATTAAAGAAAATATAAGAATTTAATTACTTTCTTATTAAGGGGAGTTTTTAAAGTTTTTAAATTTAAATACACTCTATTATTACAAAAAATCAGTACAAATAAATTTTTAATTTTTTTCTCATTATTGTTATTATTATTTTTATTATATATATTATTATTATAATTTAGTTTTAATAATTAAAATTAGTTTCTTACTATTTCCTAATAAATGCTTCAGTAATTGTCATAATATATAAGATTGATCAAACTTACTTTAAACTTATAAATCAATAAATGAAAATATTGCATTGCATTGATACTAAAATTTATAGCTTTGTTGTTACTTTATGTTTTATGTGACACAATTTAAACGCAAGTATTAATTGTAGTTTTATAAATTCTAAATCTAGGGATATTTTTAAAATAATCCCGATAATTTGGGGTTAAAATATTAGGCGGGAACCCGGGATTTTGAGATCCCGGGTTCCGGGATTGCAAACCCTATATGTGACCTCGCGGTAAAAAAAGGACCTCATGCCGGGATCTAGTTTCTGAGAAAATTGAATTGATTATTTTGGTCATTAACTGAATTGATTATTTTGGTCATATTAACGTTAAAATATCAACATTTTCCAAAAATATTGCAAATAACATTTATATTAAAACTTTATATTGATTTTCCCGACAATTGAAGTTTTTAAACTTTGAAATTTTAAAAATCATAACTTTGGATCCAGTTGAGCTATTTTAAAGATCTTGGTGTCATTTTGTTCAGTTTAATTAGCTTGTTTCTGTGGTATGAATAACTCATTCCCCCCTATATGGTCTCTTTTTTACCGCGAGGTCGCATATATTAACATTAATATATATCATTGAGTAATTGAGTTAACATATATTATTGAGTACGAATGTAAGCAACTTATATTTCCTATAAATAGCATGACAAATTCTTGATATCATAATGATATCATAATACGAGTTCATAAATCAAACTTACTATTTGGACATTAAAAGAGAAAAACTTAACTTTTATTGTGCTTTATAACTAATATATAAAATTCTGCTATAAATTAAGTCTTTTTCCCGAAGCTATGATATCATTATTTGATATTATAGCTTGAGAAGGTTTTGATATCATTCTGATATTACATTGATATCACGTCTTGACTGGGGTAAACACTAATATAATAACTAAAAACTAACAGCAATCCCTGTGGACATAGTATGTTATTTAGACGTCTTAATGACGTCCTACGGACGTCCTTAAGACGTCTGTGTTTCCAATCATATAATTTCACCAGTATTGAAAGTAAGTTAACTAATTAAACCAAAAAAGCAGAAAATATTACAAAAGAATATCAAAGAAAGTTATTGATACACGCAGTACAATATAAATTTTTTATGTAATCATTTATGGCTTCTTTTTGATGTCTTTGACGCTTTTATGTAATATTTGTAACGGTGTTTTGTATTATATTTTACATCTGATGACAATCTGTGCATAAACAGGTCGAAATATTACGAAGAAAAAAATTAGTTTGAACGCAGCTGTTGTTTTATATATGTATACACTACTTTTTTACTCACTTATTTTAATTATGTAAGTAACATTTAAATAAAATTATTGCAAAATAATATACCTAAAAATGGTAATGTTAATGTATATAATATTATACACCTAAAAATGATATAAATATATCGTATGATGATGCTTAAAAAATGTTTACATTTTAAGTCTTATGATGTCATTGACTATTTTTTGTGATCATGGTGGTCTTTCAATAACTTTTTATTTTGATGCGACAACCTAAATACTCTTTAATGTAGCTAATAAAGAAGGCAACATAGTTGGAAAATTAGCCGGGAGCTAGTAAGTCATGACTTCATCAGCAAATGTGCTGCAGGATATTGAAATAGTTGACTTTTTGACTATCATTTCATGATATACTCAACATAGGACAACATCACGTGTTGGCAACTGAGTAGGACCATCTATTGTTGAAATAATGTTCTACAAGCCAAACATTTGTAATTAAACATGTTGCTTTATATGCATATGATAAGTCTGAGGCAGCCATCTTCATAAGTAGTATTTTTATACTTTTTTACTACAATAAATATAGATTTAATAAGCATAAAATGTTCAAAACTAAATAATTAAAAAATAAAAAATCTTATATGATACAAATGCCACCCAACCTCCTTCCTTACTATGCCATCAATATTATCAAATTTATTAAAAAATTAAATTTTGAACATTAGTTTACTTAAAAATGTTTGCCATAAATTATTGCAAGTAAAATACTTTTCAATAATGAAATTAAAAAATGCATTAAGGAAAGATTTTGGTAAATAACGGGGAGGGAATATATCTAAATTCACTTACTCTTAAACTCTTTATGAACTATCTATGTGGTAAAATTAAACTATTTAGAATTACTTGTTTTTATATGTTAAACAGTTATTACAGTATTTTGTATAAAATGAATGGCTTAGCACCAAACCAGCCTATACAACGAATATGTTAATAAGAGATAATTAGATGCAAAGTTTAAATGTTATTAACAAAAGCCAGCAAAAAAAAAATTAAAAGTAATTGCAGTTCAGTGTACTTAAAAATTTTAGATAAAGTATATTGGTGTCTGCAAAAAAACACTACTTAAATCATTTTTTAATATAAACTATTTGTTTTTTAACTTTGTTGTATAAGCTGATTGGGCGCTTAACCATCCAAATAAGCATAGAATTTCAGGATTGGGTTTTTAGACGAGTTTTGATTAATTTGGAGTTCCAAAATAGGATTTAGGGAACCACTTCTCATTATCAGTGTTTAAAAGTTTTAACTATATACTTTTTTTAAATATATATATATATAAATTTTGAAATCCGGAATTTATCCGCAGAAGTTTTGTGAAAAGTTCATAAAAATTGATTTTAACCGATTTTGAAAACACCATGTTTTTTTTTTTTACATATGATACAAAATATGGTTTATATAAATAGATTTTTAGTTTTTCACTAAACTTTGGTTGACCTACAATATAAACTTGAATCAAATGTATAATTCTGCAGAGTAATAATAAATATAATGCCTGTGAAACGTGCTCAGGTAGAAGGATATACTACTGCCATTGCAATTTTAGAATTACTTAAAAATAATAAGGAAACCAAAATGAAAATTATTACCTATTGTCATATACTATATAGATATAGTATATGAATATATATATATATATATATATATATATATATATATATATATATATATGAATATAATATAGTATATTGCATATACTAGAGTTAAATCTTTATTCCAAAAGCCACAAATATTTGAAAATACTTTTTTTAAAATAAAAATTTTTCTCGATTTACCAATTAAACATTTTTTAAATACTGAGTTAAGCAAATAAAAACAATAGAGCAGCATTTATACGTTGTAAAAAAACATTTTTGATATGTGATGAATAGGGTTTGGTGATGGCAAATAGTAATTGAATGCATATTTTATAATGTAATTGAATGCATATTTTATATGCATTCAAGAGGAAAATATCTTATATAATTTTATACACTTTTGTGTTGAAATAAAAAATGTATCAGTACTCACTTTACTCACTTTACTGCTGTTTAACGACCTTTTGTTGTCCATTGTGTTACTATTCTAATGTTCTACCTTTTAAACGTTAGATATTTTGTCATATTTGAAATATTATACATGCGCAACTTGCCTCTATACTCAACTAGTCCTGCTCGACCCTATTGGAAACATTAACCCTATAGAAAAAAAAAGTGTAAATATGAATTTGATTAGTTTTTATGCTTAGCTTTAATCCCTGTCAGATATCTTCTTGCACTGCTAGATCAGTGTATAACCAGTGAATCAGGGATAACCTTTTATTAATCAGGTTTATAATTTTTTCTTTATGGATGTGGCAGTAGACACTCTACCCAATACACCAATAGTTTTAAAGGAAATTAAATTACGTAACCGACCTTGTATAGCTCCGTAAATGGTTCAGTGTGCATGCCAATTTTTTTTGAGGGGACGAAGGGGCTTCACTTGTCAACCTGCATTCGTACCAAACTAACATGTCATGTTGCAGTGATATTTTGTTTTAGAAAGTAGTTTTAATTTTTTCTTTGGTTTTTTATTCAGTTTGCGTTTATAAAATAAATTCCGATATCGTTTTTTGTGCAGTGCATGAAGCCATCTCACGATAGTGACATTAATTTATGTAATAATAATGAAATGTGTAGCATAGGTATTATGCTACACGTGCCATTTGTGTAATGTAAAAAATCTCATCAAAGAACTCATTTTGGTTTTTGAGCTAACTTAATTTATAATAAAGCAGTTCATTCATACGTATGGAACATATGTGCTTTTCTATTGAAACCATTATCCAATGATCAAACTGTAACACAAAACTGCAATGAGTCATTTAATGACTTGATATGGGAGCAATGCAGTAAAGGAACTTCTACTGCAAGAAAAACTATTAAAGTATCTATTTTCTCTTTTTTATGTCGCATTTTTTAAATGCGTTGATTTCCTGCAGTTGTTTATTTTGAAAAACAAAGTTATAAAAAAATAAAAGGTGGTTATCCAATGTGTTAATAAAATGCCAATAAAATACGAAGAAAACAAATAAAATCTATCAAAAAAAGTTTTTTAACAGATAATATTTGAAAGACAGTATTTAAACCAAGGATTGCGCAACAAATTTTGAAAATGCTTATCTTACCTCCTTTATGTATTCGATTATAATAAAATATTGTTCTCCCCCTTCCCCCTTCCTTCCCCACTCACACACACAAAATAGTCTGCAAAAATGCAAACATAAATCTCAAATAAAGCACAATAGTATAAAAATTTCAAAGATATCAATAATAAAAAAAAAAACATTACAAAAAATCATCATCAAAAACATATGTAAAAATGCATTTTTTAAAACTGTCATTTTTTATGCAGTAAATTATAAAAAAATACTTTTTTTTTTTATTAAGTATTTATTGTATTAAAAAAACATACTTATTATATAACTTAACAATAAATATCTGAATTTATTTCAAAAATTGGTATTTTTGAAATAAATTATTTTTTCTGTTATCCGTTTAATACAAGAGAATTAAATTGTGGTTGCTTAGCGACAGCATAAAATATATAACATTAAACACACTGCTTAAAGTATAATCTTATTATTAAGTTATTACTAACTGTATATACTATAGGGAGTTGAATGAACAATTAAATGAATGCTAAATATTGTATAACTTACGAAAAGCACACTTTAAATATCTCGTTAACTTTTTGTTACGTAATTTAAGGAGCGTAGAATTTTATTTAACTTTTACGTGATTTACAAGATGAGGGCTTTTGTCTTATTTTTTGTTTTCGGTATTTGTCTTCAAGTGCAGGCTGGATTTTTTGAGCCAATAATAACTGTGGATCAACTAGATATTAATAAATATTTGGGAAGATGGTACGAGGTAAAACTTTAAAATTAACTTTTCAAAAAATGTGATCTTAATTTCTTAGAACATTATCAGAAAAATTGTAAAATTAGAAAATATACATAATATAATCGTAATATCTAAACATAAAAATAAACAAAATTATGCATGGAAAAGATTTGATGCTTTCAAGAGATAGTAGTTTCAAGTTAACAATAGAAAAAAAAATCTGAGGATTTTGAGAAAACAAAATATTAAAACAAAATATTTAGGATCCCTATTTAGTTTTTATTTAATAATTTTCAGAGAATTGAGAATGGTTTTGCAATATTTTGTCTGTGAAATAACTGAGTTAAATAACTTTTTTGAGTTAAATAACTTTTCTTGCGTTTTTAAAAATTAAGGCTGAAAACTTTCCCATTTATTACGTCTACCACCCTTTATGTCTACTACCCCTTCCCTCCATCCTCCTTTCATTTATTAGGTACCTAAAAGTATATATTTAAAAGTTAGAATTATTATCCTTACTTTTACAGATAGAAATAAGTCATTCGAAAAGTTCTTTTCAAATTCAATAGACACTGGAGTTTTCATCATGTCCACATCTTCGAATCAACGAACAGAAAATTGAACTGCTTGTTTAACTGCGCCTGTTGTTGCATCTAGCAAAAAAACATTATGTTAGTGGGAAGAAACTGACTGTTGGAAAACTATAAATTTATATTAATAATATTTTAAATATGGATCACTACAGTGATATAAGTTCCAAAACTTAACAAAACATTGAAAAAAATTTCAAACTTTTTGAAGGTTTTGTTTGAAAGCTAGTATGCTAGAACTAGGTACCCGTAAATCCGGATTTTACGGGTTTTTCCGGCCAAATTTTTGATACGCTTTTTCAAGTTTGTTAAAGACTTGCACTTGTTTTACTGTGTTATTTTTTCAAAATGTGTATCAATGTAAACTTTTTTTGAATTCTAGAATTATAGAAATTTGCCTCTGCATAGATTTCTTTGATGTAAAATTTTATTTATTACAAATTTGATTGTTTGATTTAGAATGTGAAAATATATATAGATGATAAATGTTAGGATAACATTGTAAAATGCGTGCACATTAACGTGAAAAAAATTAATAAAAAAACGAAGCAAAAAAAAAATTTTTGTCTCTCGTCTAACTAATTATATTATTGATTTTATTTATTCGGTTCAAATAGACTTATACAAAAATACTGCTGTTCATTTAGATGTTATATTTAATTTTATATTTTATTATAAAATATATTTATATTTCATTACAAGATTTCAAGCAGCATGATTCCGAAATTGACATTTGAAAAGAATTTGGTTTGCACGACTGCAACTTGTAAGTAAATATTACTTTTTAATGTGAAGTGAATAATATTTTTTTGAAGTGAAGTGAATATCATTTTTTCATCTTTTACTGATTGATGCCAGAATATATAGAGGAGACCGGGGTTAGTTGAAGCGTTTTTTTTTATCTGTGAACTTGTGGTCAAAATACAAAGATTTATTTAATTTTTTTTAACTGCCTAAAATACTACTTACTAAAGCACAAAATACTACTTACTAAAGCACAAAATACTACTTACTAAAGCACACAATATTCACTAATTATTACAATATTCACAATTAAACTTAGCTATGTAGTATTTAATATATCTTTGATCAGAGAGAAAATTTAGTGCTTAGACATTTTTTGGTGTAATTTTAATATTTTCTTTTGTGGCACTTTCTTTGCAGTTTTTGCTTCAAAAATTTTTTGTGGGGTTTTTGCTACACCTGCTGGTGGAGTTTTGATAAGTCCTGAAGTTAATGGTCCAATGTGCTCAGTATTATCTGAATGAAGGCAAAATAATACAATCAAAATTTATATAAAAAATCAAAAATAGTGTTACTATTATTATTATTACTAGTAGCCAAGGCAGGAAGTTCCTGACTGATAGTATGTAAAGACGGAAGCATCGTCACTGTTAGTTCTATAAAGTCTGTAACTTTTGAAAGCATATTGTCAACATCAGAAGAAATTTCGCAATTGAATGGACAGATTCCGCTAACTTTAAACCCTGTAAATATGTTTTTTATTATGATCGCCAGAGTAAATAATAATGAAGAACATATTTACACAGCTTGGAATGTCATAAATAGTCATTGTTTTGCCTTTATTTTTATTCATTTATGTGTTACATACAGTGTTGAAGAATTTTTTAAAAGGAAAGTAAGTAGATCTGTCTAGTGATTGCAGCTTGTGCAAGAAGTGAGGCGGAAGGAACCACATTTCAACTTCATTAGCCTTTGCAAAATCCAAAAATTCTTGGTTAATGTGTGATTAATAGTTGTTGAATAGCAATAAAGCCGGCTACTGAGGGGGAGGGCATTGTACGCGTGTCACAAAGTGCTTCATGAACAGAAAAAATCTTTGTTCATTTATTCATCCAAATGGATTTTGCTTTTGTTTCAATGCATCTTGTTGGACCGTCACGAACAAAACGGTCGCAAAAAGTTACTCTAGCCAAAATAAGCATTGGTGAAATAGTGTTCCCAGAAGTGTTTACCGTATAACACACTGTTACTAATTTTCCTCGCTCGGCCGATTTGACAGTTTGATAGCTCCAATATCCTTTGATAGCTCCAATATCCTTTACTCCTTTTCTGGCAACAATCTTGTGTGGATTTTGAATAGTTTTACAACCTGTAAAATCTTCATTCCAAATATCTGTTGCGGTAAAGCTGTTTTCTTTTAGAAACGAAGAAAACCATTCTGTACCAGCGCGCTCGTTCTTTTTCTATGAAATATGAACTTTGCATTCAGTTTTTTTTTGCGTAATTGTAAACAAACTTTTGCACTTCTGCAGGAATGAGGTCATAGTATACAAGTAAAGCCTGTACCTCGTAAATGAATTCTTGTTTCTGTGGTACCCCACAGTTAAAATGGTTGGGGTGCTTGACATTACTCTGATGCAGTATTTTCTGAGTGTCACATGAGGAATGCCATAGTCTGATGCAGCTCCTCGGCCTTTCTCCTCATTTTCAAAGAATCTTTTGAAAGCAGAAAGCATTGTGTTACTGAATGTCGTATCTTTTACTGGTGTCTTTTGTTTATAATTACGCATTCTAAAAATAGTTTATTAATACCGATAACTCTTTCACTTCTGCAGTTGTACAAAATTTTTATTAGCCGTGACCGCAAATAGTTTTAAAGATAAATTAAAATCATATAATAAAAAATAATTTAAGTTTAAATAACAAACCTCTTCAAAAAACTAAACAAAACCACTTTTTAAATGTTTAAGTTTTAAAAGCACGATACTTTATGCAAAAGAGTTGAAAACAGTTATTTTTAAGAATTCAATTGGTATTAAAAAGCCGCAACCAACGACTTTTTGTTTAAAATAATAAAGAAAAAGCTACTGTTAACGACGTGCGGTAGCAAGAGTTAAATAAACGAAAACACATGCTAAATAATAAGATCCTTGATTAAACTCTAGTTTAGTGTGTAAATAAAATTATAAAATAAAAAAAATATTCTATGAGCGATAATAGAAGAAATATAATTGGTACTAAAAACGTTCCAACAAACCCCAATTACAACGTTTCAGCAAACCCTATTTAACCAGCGCATTCTTAAGCGATTTAATTAAGGTATTCCATACACAAAACTCTATAAAAAGCGCATTAAAAGAAAGCCAACAAAAAACTACTATTATCAAACTAGTCTATTATATTTTCTAATACAAGATTAAAAGAAATAATACCAATATCACAAAAAGTTACTTTCACGTGCACAATTCTCTAAAATCATGAGCAACAACTTAATTTTTGCAATTTTTTTTATCCAACAACATATTAGTACGTATTTTAGTTTTTGAAACCATCGTTATTTGTTTGTAATAATAAATTGCTCGTTAGTTGGTGCAAAAGTTCAATGTTTTAACTAACCCCCCGTTCCGACTAACTCGTGCTCCCTTCATATAAAACTCGCTTATACTCGTAGCTTCAATATCAACCCAAAAAACCTTTGCACTATAAGCTATGTTAGATAATCATGTAAAATGTTGAATTTGTATTGTTGCTATATATATATAGCGACAATACAAATTTTATATATATATATATATATATATATATATATATATATATATATATATATATATATATATATATATATATATATATATATATATATATATATATATATATATATATATATATATATATATATATATATATATATATATATATATATATATATATATATATATATATATATATATATATATATATATATATATATATATATATATATATATATATATATATATATATATATATATATATATATATATATATATATATATATATATATATACCCTGTGGGAAAAAAGACGTCGAAAAAACGTCTTTAAAAGTCTTATTTACGATGTCTTTAAGACGTCTTTTTTTAATCGAATATGTAAATCTAAAAAACATCTTTTTTCGATATCAAAAAGATGTCTTTTTTTATCTTAATCTTGCCATGAAAAGATATAAAAAATGCGTCTTTAAAACGCCTTTTTTTAGTCGAATATGCAAATCTAAAAAAGTTTTTTTACTTAGGGTCGGAACGACTTTTTTGCCATACTTATTAGTATATTATAGTACCCTATACACTATAGTATTCCTACTTTTCTTATATGAAAAGCTATTTTTTTTCAAATGAAAATGATAATAGCTCTTCATACAAAGTATGACAAAAAGCTTTTTCCGATGCCGAGAAAAAATCTTCTTTTAGATGTCAATATAAAAGAGGAAGCATTTTCTACATCTTTTATATATTTAAATATAGGAGAATAATTTATGAATAAAACAATAATATTGTTCAACAGAATATTTTTTCATCTTTCTCTTTCTTTTCTGTTTCTTGAGCGAGCTCTGTTTTTTAGCGTTGTTGAATAAAATTAACAATTTCACGTCGAGAAATCCTTTTATACGAGCAGGTTACGACTTCTAGCTGTTTACCACTTCTAAAAAACGAGTGAACATAAAAAACAGCCTATTGCTTAAATGCAATACAAAAAAAACAAACGAAACTTGATTAGCTGAGTGGAGCACATTATACTTACCGACTATTAATTCAAAAAGAGCTGATCCTTTTAATCCACTCATGTTTCCAGCGCGGTCCCTACTTTTTGAACCCACTTGGTTAGATTGGGACAAAAGTCAAAAGGTAAACAGTCTAAAAATATATAAAAATGAGAGTGCTAAATAAATTTACAACCATCAAAATGACTGTACAACGACGTATTTTATTATGTAGGACTTAAATCAAGCTAAACATTTGTACCTCTCAGATTTGCTATGAAAACCAAGCTATTGAAAACAGATATTGATGTTTTTCTGTCTTCTATAACATGATTTAATTGAATTTCGCTGAAATTAAGTTTTGTAGATTCATAACAATTTAAAAATCCGTTATTGACTAAAGACTATCAAAACAAAAAGATAATTCAGCTAATACACCTTGAGAGTTGTTATTCATTTAAACTAGAAAAAAGTATTAGTCAAAGCTTTATTTTAGCCTGAAACATAAGGATGCTTTACTTTTTTTTTTTTTTTTTTTCTTTTTGCCGTTTGATAAAATTTACAATAAGAAAGATCGTACTATATAATATATGACCGGAGCAAGAAGAAGACGTATATTGTCTTATCGCCAAGCCCCGTTTACATTGTTGCCTTCAGTTTATGTAACACGTTTATGTAACACGTATATATATATATATATATATATATATATATATATATATATATATATATATATATATATATATATATATATATATATATATATATATATATATATATATATATATATTATTTATAGATAAGAAATAAATCAAGACAAAAATAAGAGAGTCGTCATGACTTTTTCAGTTTAATTATTTTAGGTACTATTTTTGAAAGAAATTTTTAAAATCGAAGTTTTTTCCTAATAGAAAACGTTTAGATTCTTTTTTGAATTGTTCTGGGAGAAGTTTAGAAGAGTTTTATTTTTAATAATATTTTTCAAAAAACTTTTCCATGTAAATGGTACACGGTATTGAATTTGGAATGAGCTGAGTTTTAAATAAGATCTTGGAATAACAAACATATCAACTGAAAATTTTGTGGGGTATTTATGAGTAATTTCAGTGAAGTAAGAGTGCAATATATTAGGAGAGAAACCATGTTTTGATTTAAACATTAGAAGCATAACTTGGTATATATTAATTTTATAAACATTAAGTGCATTAAGTTCGCTAAGAAGAAATTCACCATTAACAGTTCTGTTAACGCCAAATATAATCCTACATGCATGTTTTTGTTTGCTATAGATTTTTTTAAGTTTCCCATAATTAGTATTTCCCCATGCAATATTGCAAAACGAAAGATAACTATGAATAAATGAAAAATATATAATTTTTAAAGACTCAATATTAAGAAATGGTTTAATTTTATATAACATTGAAATATTTTTGGAGATTTTGTTTTAATAGATTTAATATGATATTTCCATGATAAATTTTCATCTATAATCACTCCTAGAAAGTTAACAGTTGACTCTCTTTTAATAATTGTTTTATTCATAAAGAGATTGGGTAATTTTAGAGAAAGGTTATCTCCCCTACGAGGTTTGTGAAACAAGATAAATTTAGTTTTCTCACCATTTAATGAAAGTTTATTATTTGTAATCCAGTCATTTATTTTTAATAATTGTTCGTCAGATATTTTAAACAGTTCTTTTATATTATTGTGTGAGTAAAAAAAATTCGAATCATCAGCAAACAAAATAACATTTAAAACTTTGGATGCTAAGCATAAATCATTAATATAGAGTAGGAATAAGAGCGGCCCTAGGATTGATCCCTGGGGAACACCACAAGTTATAATATGATTTTCAGTTTCATTTGCTGTATATAATATGGATTGTTTTCTGTTTGACAGGTAACTTTTAAACCATAGTAAGTTATTATTAAGTATTCCATACAGTTCTAGTTTTTTTAAAAGAATATCGTGGTTTACAGTGTCAAATGCTTTTGACAAATCAATAAAAACTCCTAATGTATAGCAATCATTATTCAACCCATTGGATATATAATTTATTAGATCGACTACGCATGATCAGTTGAATGATTCTTTTTGAACCCAAATTGTCTGTTATACATTATATTGTTCTCAGTTAAATAAGTATTAAGTCTATCATACAAAATTTGTTCTAACAATTTTGAGAAACATGGTAAGGCAAAAATAGGTGTATAATTAGACATAATCGTGTCATCGCCAGATTTAAAAATAGGTATGATCTTAGCAATTTTTAATTTCTCCGGTACAATACCGGATTCTAGTGAAAGGTTAAAAATCTAAAACAGTGACGGTTCATAATATCAAACACTGCTTTAACAACATTCACGTTAATATTATCTATGCCAGCGCATTTATTACTTTTTAGAAAGCTGAATGCATTTCGCAACTTATTTATGTTTAATTTTACTTCTTTCATAGATGTATTGATTGATTTCATATAAGATTCAAAGTTTGAGGGGTTTTTTTGGAATTTTTATCAGCTAAAGTTGGGCCAATATCAAGTAAAAATTTATTGAGCTTTTTAACTATGACTTCTTTATTATAAAACATTTTCCCGTTAACTAATAGTTTTTGTGGCAAATTATTTTTTGGATATTTATTTTTACCGATTATCTGCTTAATCACGTTCCACGTCTTTTGTGTGTTTCCGCGTGTTTTTTCCAACAACCTTGCATAATAATTTTTTTTTTGCATGTTTCTTTGTTTTTTCAAACGTTTTTTTATAATTTTTGTATTTTATTTCATTTTTATATGTTTTATGTTTTAAATATTTTTCATAAAGTCTTTGTTTTCTCTTTGATGATTTGTATAAACCTTTGGTCATCCAAGGGCTTAGAAGTGAATTAGGATGGGGTTTAGAATTAGGAAGGGCTTAAAAGTGAATTACTTAACAACATAAAATCATAAAAACTGGCGATATCATTAGCAACACAGAAGAAATACACATAAACAAAAATAAAGACTAGAAAGCTGCAATGATGTTTAGATATAAGAAAGTGTATCTTTCCAGTATCATTTTAACTTGGTTTTTTGTATCCAAACCAAAAATTTTGCAAATATTTTTAAAGATAAATCTGTTGTCATTATGTGTATTTTTATAATTTCTTTATTAATGACAGACAACAGTTAACAAGGAAATAACATATTTAACATAAAAGTTGAAGAGCCAATCTTTTGAATAAACAATTTCATCATTCAACTAAATAAAAACAACAAAATTATTTAAAAATATATAAAAAAAAAATTTGCAAGCCTACTGAGTGCTTCTTTTTTTCTACCGTTCGTTTCACTAGCACTTGAACAAAAAAATATAGAGAGAAATTGTTTTCAGGTTTTATTTTTCGTCTGAAAATAAATATTTTAATTTAATATGTAATAAACAACGTTCTTCAAGCACAATACATTAAAAAATTTGTCTAAAAATAAATGGTAAAACTTTTTAAGACACTTACCTGCGACCAGCTTAATTAAGACTAGATCATATCAATACCATCTTACTGGCACCACGCCATCCACTTTTGCTTCTTCCGATTAACATTATTTAGCTAAGCAGCTGCAATTGTATATTTATTTCAGTATATATATATATATATATATATATATATATATATATATATATATATATATATATATATATATATATATATATATATATATATATATTCGGTACTTATCAATTTGTCAATTATCTGAAAGGAAGATAAGTTCCTGGTTTCCAGTTTTTATACTTTAAAATTTGTTTAAACTATAAACAGTTAAGCAGTTATTTATACTCGTTGCAATCTGATGCAATTATTTAGACTCATTGCAATCTGATGGATCCATTAAAGTATTTAATGCTGGTAGAATATTGAAGCCAACTGGACTTGCGAATAATGCTACTGGAAAAGCAGTTGTTGTAAGAAATGGAACGCTTCTTGTAACTTTTCCTCAATCAATAAATTTTTTCAATGCAAACTGTAAGTTATTGGTAGTATTTATAGTCTTACATTTTTCTGCATCTATTTATATATATATATATATATTTAAGTGTTTATTTAATTTATATAATTAAATTTATTTTAGTGATTCAAAATTCAATAAGTACCGTACCGTAGAGTAAACACTTTTTTGTGTATGAATATATCTGTTAATATTAATAGTGTCTAGAAGAAATTGAAGAAAAAATGTTTGGTGAAAAAACTTTTGTTTGTAACTTAAGAAACAAAACCAAATATTTTTATATTTAAACTATAAAAGAGAACAGTTTGCAAAATAGTTAATCAACAATCAAAAGTATATTTACAGTGTATTGTCCGGTTGCATAGCTTAATGCGGTTTTCATTGCATTTAACCAAGAAGTTTATTTTTAAAATTTGTTTGACCTATATGCAAGAAATTTAAGCAACCGTGGTGCAATGATTAGAATTCTTGCTCCAAGAGGTTCGAGGTCCTGTGCGATCTCTGACCAGATAAACTTCATTGGTAAAGATAACTGCGTTAACAACCTGAACTTCCACAATCCTCTATGATAAGGCCGTAAGATAAGGCCAGTCTTATATGAGCACCTCAATAACTAAAAAAGAAAAAAATTGAAAATTACCTTTAATTTAAAACTACCGAAAAAAACGCAAAGACAAAAAGTTTGTAAGAGGCTATGGGTTTGGTTCGACAGCTCGTAGTCAGCAAAAAAAATATTGTCAAACAACCAGTGGCGTCGGCAGGTTTTTTTGACGTTTCAGGTATGACACTTTGAGGCCGTGTGCAATATCTAAACTGAACTATGTTCATAATTATGTCAAATGAGGATGCTTAGCGAAAAATTCCTTTGGTCGGAGTCAGGAAACAAAGAGGTAGAAGGAGCAAATGTTTGTGATTTTGTTACTGGGCTTCAATTCTAGTGAATTTCTTTGAAAAATTCTTATTAGACTTAAGCATAAACATAATTAAGTTTTGATACACAATTATGCGTATCAGACATAAAATTATGCGTATCAAACGTTCATGAGAAAACCTGGTTTTCCCAGATACACATAAAATATATTTTTAACATAAACAACTTTAGTTTATTACGTTAAACATTTTATTATTTTTTATGAGGAGTTTAAAAAGGGGTTATGATATCAAATTTATTGTTTAATAATTTAAATAATTTAATTTAAAGAGTGTAAATAATTTAAATAATGTAATTTAAATAATGTAACTTAAATAATGCTATTTAAATAAGAATTGTAGGGAGTCAATGAAAAGATTGTGGTAGTAGTTTTATCATCCATAATCTTCTTTGATTTCTTTTCTCTTTGTATTATTATCTAAAATGTGAAGCTTGAGTTATTAAACGTTCAATCCCCACCAGGTCCCTGGTAGTACCACTAGAATTGAAGCCCAGTAACAAAATCACAAACATTTGCTCCTTCTACCTCTTTGTTTCCTGACTCCGACCAAAGGAATTTTTCGCTAAGCATCCTCATTTGACATAATTATGAACATAGTTCAGTTTAGATATTGCACACGGCCTCAAAGTGTCATACCTGAAACGTCAAAAAAACCTGCCGACGCCACTGGTTGTTTGACAATATTTTTTTTGCTGACTACGAGCTGTCGAACCAAACCCATAGTCTCTTACAAACTTTTTGTCTTTGCGTTTTTGCCTCAAAGCGGCCTTGTACGTCGATGTTCATGCTTCGAAGTTATAGAGAGTTGTAATTACAACTAAAGTAGCCTCCTCGTCTTTAGTGGCCTTCACAGCTTTGTAAAGGTGAATTTAAAAAAGAAAAAAACTTTCAGATTTTATTTTTATTGAATGAAATTCTTTGTTCAAGTTTAATATAAAATGAAAACTATAAGAATAAAATTCAAATAATAATATATAATAATAATAAGAAATAATTATAGTACTTTTAAGTTAGGTGAGCTCCAATAATTATAGTAGAGCTCGCTTAACTTAAAAGTACTTGTTTATCCAACCTTACTTATAGTTTGGATAATTTGAGCTAAAGACTTTTCATTTAAAGATTTTTATTTTGTTTTTTAAAGATTTTGTGGTAAAACTTGGAAATCCTACTTTTGGTACGCAAGGTCTTTACGAATATGCTATAGTTACCACACCGTTCAGACTTACAACTTGGGTACTAGCACGAGATCCACAATCATTTTTTGCTAATTATCAAAAGGAGGTTAAAGATTACCTCAAGTATAACGGATATAATTGGTTTTGGAACAAGCCTACTCCAACTGTACAAACTCAAGATTGCATATATCCTGAATAATTTTCAATTTACTTAGCACTAAAAACGTCGCACTGATTACAAATGCTTACAGCATTTTATTGTACTTTTTTTTAAATTCAATAACTTTTTAAGCTTATTTATTGTATTTCATACTAAACTTAATAAGTATTACTTATAAATGTTATATATTTAAAGTATAAACTTTAAAACAAATTAAAAGTTGTTCTATTTTTAGATGTTAAAAATTTATTACATTAAATAGTATATTATACTTAAATATATAAAAATCTATCCATATTTCATTTAACCCCCTTCAAAAAGCTTTGATTAGTATTACATAGTTGGATTTGTAAAGATCCGCGTCTACATTAAATAAAAAAGCATTTTGTTTGAGCTTTTTATTGATATAATTTTACTTTTTAAAATAAATCTAAATTATATAAATGCTTGTTCATTGAAAAGTTGGGAAATTGTTATGAAACTAAAGATTTATTATTAATAAAGAAAGTTCTACAATTTCAAAATCTACAACCTAAATTCTACATTTGTTATTATTAAAGATTAGAAAAAAATCTTTTCACTTTTAAATAAACCAAAAAATCTTCTCACTTTTAAATAAACCAAAAAATTCTTCTCACTTTTAAATGAACCAAAAAAAACTTAGTAAAATATGCAACTCTAACATACAATCAAACATAGAATTTCAATTAAATTATAACAAACGCGTTGGGCCAGCCTACGACAAGTAAATTTTTAGTTTTTTTGTACTGAATTTAAATAAGCATTTTAACCACCTTTTGCCAACAATTTTTCTGAAATCGGAACCTTTGCAAGTTGTACTTGCAAACAAAGGTCTTCAGAAAGTAGCACACAGAGCTTATAAATAAAAATAAATAAAAAAAAGGTACATTTATATTTTTTTGCTTAAATCTTTCTTAGAGTATGAAAATTTTTAATTTAATTGCAAGAATATTTTTTATTAAATAAAATTTTGCATTTTGGATGACTAAACATACTATTATTATACAACTAAACTAAACTTCGAGTTTCTGTATTATATTACTTATTTTTTATTATTTTTTACTTTTAACCAAAAACCTCATATGTAACTATTTCCATTTTTATATATATTTATCTATAAATATTTGTAATACAGAACAAACAAAAAAAAAAGGCTTTGCATATAAAAAGGTTATCGAACATTATAATACAAACTATTAATAAAAACCGAACTATAACTAGTATGTAAAATATCCCCTTCGTGCTTTTTTACAAGCTGCACTAGTACTTCAAATATTCTACACGCTTTTTTCACATTGATTTAAAAAGGTTGTTACAAATTTTGGGAAGAACTTTTTTCAAATGATTTTTCAAATTTTTGTTTTAAACGTTTTATTCAAACCTTGAAAATTTCTTTGTCCATCCAAGCTCAAATAAATTTAATTAAATTTAAATCTGATAATTAGGCTGGAAAGAACAATAAACCAACTGTGTTTTCTTTCATCCATGCTTTGGATACTGTACGAGCTGAGTGGGCAGGTGCCATCTTGTTGAAACTGTCACCATTTATTTCAATAAATCAGCATTTCTACTAACAGGATCTTTCAGTTCACTAGTGCCTCCATATGGTATATTAGTTAATTCAGTATGTATAAATCTTACACACATACTTCATTAAAACTAAAGCAGCCCAAAATACCAACACTCCAATCGGTTCTTAGCAACCTTGGTACCAACACTCCAATCGGTTCTTAGCAACCTCGGTACCAACACTCCAATCGGTTTTTAGCAACCTCGGTATTAACACTCCAATCGGTTCTAAGCAGCCTCGGTACAACAAAGTAAAAAGTAAAACAACGAAATTTTTTAATTGTGTTTCTAACTTTATTTGAAGAAATAACTAAACATGTAAGAAACCATGTCAAAGCACCTAATATAAATAATAAACTCGTAATATGTTATGAATTAAAAGGTCCGAGGTTCAATATCATATTTGTTCTGGTCATATTTGCGTCGTTGGTAAGATAAAAACCCGTAAATTTCTTAGTCAAATGCTCTTCCGCGGTGCTCTGTGACACCATTCTAAGAACTTTTTGGAGCATATTAATAACCACATTTCATTTATGATTTGATTAATACAAACTGACAACCCTACTACACTTTTAACCATTATTTGACTTAACTGATTTATTGCAAGTCCATTTTTAGGTACCATTTTGTTCCAATCAAGGCAACTAGTTTCCTAAATTAGAACACTTCGATTCCCTTATCGAAACATGTAGCTTCTTTTAAAAAAACACTTTTAAAATTAACAAAAAATAATTATAAGTTATTTTTATCTTTACAGTGAAAATTTAAACAGTTCGTTCAAAACTTATAATAGAATTAATATTGGCAAACTGAAACTCTACAAACAAAAAGTTGTATCAAAGCTTCAACTATTATGACGTTCTTTCATTTTATTGATAAAAAAGCAATAAACAATGTATAATTTCTGAGGTTTATGGTTGTTAGTAAGCATTTTTAAATTTTGCCTGAACTATTTCTTCAACTCTTCGAGTTTAACTTGATTTAGTTAGGAAAACTTTATAGTTCCAATCAAGAAAACTTTAGACTAATTTGTTATATCACTGCAATATCATGCGTGCAGCAATTTATAGGCTAAGTTTATAATGTTATTTGCATTTTAAATTCCATCGCATTAAACACAAAAAACCGTATAACCTGTAGCAGTTTAGTTTACCCAGGGCAATCAATAAATGAGTGCAAAATTAGATTAATGAAAAAAAAAAATGGCACCAAAAAGCTTTAAATCAATGTTGCACATGCATTTTTTGAGGGATAACTTTTAAAAGCTGTTGAAACGTAGAAAATAAGACGTTTACTTAAAAAAACAAAACAAATATAGCCATAATTCATTTAATTTCCAAAATAAATGCAAGTATTCCAATTAAGACGCTGTTCTAATTAAGGCAAATTTCTCCAATAATATAATGTAATTTCAAAACTTAACTTTTTGAAACAAGTTCAATCAGTTCAACGTTTATAGCAATATTATGTTTAACTCACATAGAAGTTAATCTAACAAGTCTTCTTAGTGTAATGGACTTTTGCAAACATGCTTTTATCAGTTTGAGTTTGAAAAAGTTTTTCTCATCATTAGCCACATAAACTGAGTGTGTCAAAAAGAGGCTATAAAAGTGTCTGAAAAGAGGCTATGAAAGTGGCTAAGGGTTCTTAGAGCTTTAACTGTTGGTTATACAATCTATTAAACTGTTTTTCAATATAAAGTTTTTTGCATCCTAAGACAATGCACAGTTTGCATCTTTTCCTGATTTCAGCTCTCAGCTTAGATTAAATGTATTAACATTTTTAGAGTCTCCATGTTGCAAAGTTTTCTTAAGATTTAAGTAATGTTTTATAACTTCTTTGATAACTATATTCTGCAAAGAACGAACATTGCAGAATAATAATTATATTTATCAACTTTTTTTTTTAAATACTTTTTAGATAGACAAACAAATAAATGAGTTCTGATTTACGTAAAGGAAAAAGAATTAAAACATAGGGTAGACCGGGGCGGGTCAACCTGATTGGTGGATTCCTCAGCTGTCTAATGAAGCCACCAATGCCACACCGCACACATATCAATGAGTTGTTTTTTGCTGTTTCCGTTATAAGCTTTTGATTTATTAATGACTTTAAACTATGAGATTTCCTTTTCTTTGAGACATATACTTTTATTTCATTAGACAAATAATTCTTTTTCTTTCTTGAGCCACTTTGATTTTATTTTGTTTGATGGAGAACTTCTTCTTTTTCGAGTTACTTGGATTGGAAAACACATCCAGAGACTTTCAATTTTTTATATAAGTGAGTAATCTAAGTGAAATTTATGCCATGTAATGGGCAAATCTTATTGAAGTAACCGACGACGATGTAATTTTTTAGCATATAAATAAATATTTTACCTCAACCACTTTTTTGTCAATGGAAATCCACGATCTGTCATGTAAAAAAGCCTGTTTACTAGTGCTTTTTTCTGTTGCTTTGTTCACTAGTTTTCTTCCCACATTGTCAACGTCCATTTATCTTACCTTTCAGCGTTAATCTCAGAACTTCAAATGTTTTTGCTGCCCTTAATATTTTACTGCCATCTTTAACAGCTTGAATAGCCTATTGGAGGTGGGTATTACTATAGGATTTCTTTTTCTTTGGGAGATACTTGCGTACCATATGAAACATAAGTAGTATTCAGCTAGTTTTAGATTTTTGGCGCTTAGGGTAAAAATGCAACAAGATAATTATTACCGATTAGCATAATAACTATCTTTTTAAATATCGATGCTTGGATTTTATAATGGTGCATTTTAAACATGCTAATCGATATAGTAACTATAAATTGGTATAGTAGCAAGATATAGTGGCAATAAAAACAATCAACGATGGTGAGCATTTAATGATAAGAAATGCGAGTTTAAGAAATGTATTTAATTGGAACAAATGACATTTTCAAATACAAAATGTTAGGAAAATTTTAGAAAAGTATATTTAGGTTAAATTATAAAGTATTTTAGTTTTAAATGTGTATCTAAAAACAATTGGTTCATTATATCTTCAAAATACTTCTAATAAACTTATCATACGATAATTCCTAAAATATGTCCAATGATTTGATGAAATTGTTTGTATAATAATAAATTTTAAGATTAAATATTGTTTAGAAAACAAATATATTGTACATTATACATTTTTTTTAACTGTGGGACTATTTTATCATTCTGTGGCAAAAGTATATCAATAAATAACTATAAGGTTAAAATTTTAAAATAATAAATATTTTACATCATATTAATAAGGGTTATGCCAGAATAACATCTTTTTCTTGAGATACTAAAAATGGCGAAATCGCTTCCGTCTACCCAACAAGGACTTCGCAAGAGATCGTCCATAAATTACGCAATACAAATTTTAACTAATAGACAAAAGAAAAAGAATTAAAATTTTTCCCTCGCCGAGTTTTAAATTATGTCGCCGCTCAAAAGAGCAAAATGATTTCCTACTTATTTTTTTTAAATGTTTTGCATTGCGTAATTAATGGACGATCGACAACTCATTTTCCCGTAAAATTAGCGT